CTCTCCGCGCCACGTGACCCCCAGTGACCCCCCGCTCCGGTTCAGCCCAGGCGGCCAAGGTGACACGCCATTCGTTCTGGTCCTTCTCCTCCGACCGAACTGGACATGACTGTGCCAGTGGGAGGATGAGGCCACACAGCTCTGCTCAGGACTTTCAGGCAAATGCATCTGCGCTTGGGGGTGAAATTCGACCGGAGAGCTGAGGCAAATCAATGGAAGTGATACTGCCCAAACCTCTTCCCGCTATTCGACATGAAAGAGAGAATCACCCGAAGTTCCCTGATGAATACTGTCCTGCATAAATCTTCTATAATTGTCCATGTATGATCTTGCTCTATCTCCAGCCGCTCTCATATACAACCAGTGACTCTACACCTAGCGCAAGTATTTCCTTCCACAGATCCATTGAAGAGTGACCAGAAGTGCCGGCAATTCACAATCGGTTCAGAATGGGCCAGGAATTCTCTCAGGCCCCAGGGAAAGCCTCGATCTTTGGATAAACCTGTGTTAAAACATCACTAGATGTCAGACGGGCAGACGGGCAGAGCAACTTCACCACGGAATCCCCACGTCCAGTGTAACTTCACCATCATGTCGCTAGATGTGCAGTGGAATCCCCACACATCGTAGACCATCTGAGACGCACGTGCGTCCTCTCCTTGGCTTGGAAAGCGATGCGTAGACCATCTGCATCCTGGGGACGGAGAAAGATGAGGAAGACAACGGACAACCTGTGGAAAGGTGTGGGAAACTCCAAAAGAAGAGACACCCCGCAAAAAGGCTTCGGCTGTCGGGACTGCAAAGCTAGAATTAGGCGGTAGCCAAAGGGCAATCACCTAACAGCTCGGGTCAGGTCTCAATGCGCACAGGATCTTCCTCTCTCCCACTGGAGGAAATCCCAAAATGCGCTAAGATTCATGATTCAGGACGGACCTTCATCTCCCACCAGGCACCTTCATTGGATTGGCCTCAATGAGGTCTCTTTCACCCACTGGGAATCCTGAAGACGCGGGGACGCGGAGCCTCACCTCGAACAGCTCCAACTGCGAGAACCGCTTCGTCGGATCCTCGACGCATTCAACAGTCGGATCTGCCCAGTCGAAATTCCAAGAGGAACCGAACAAATGCTGTTCACAGCCGAAGATCGAAGGGGCAAAGGCCAGAAGGCCAGAAGGTGAAGGCCAGAAGATGACCTACGAAGACTGTCGAAGGCATTGAGAGGTGAAATGAGGTGAAGAGCAAGCCGTTTGGGACGACATGCGTCGCTGTTCTTTGCCTTGCTCTGCTCAAATACTCGTGTCTTGTCTGGTCTTTTTGTTCGGAATAGACCTGCGGAGTGTACCCTGTGCCAAGACACTCCATCGCAAATGATCTCGAGCTTGTCCTTCCGGACAGGTTCGTCAGGATTCGAGCAGCTCCGTCCCAAGCTGCTCAGAAATCAGGTTCCATCAATGATGTCATTTTGGGAACCATAGAGGGGTCGGTGCCAGGTATATGTTGGTTGTTCACTTGAGGGTATCCCCCACAACCAAGAGCAAAAGGCAATCTATGGGTTCCATTCTTGATGATCTTTGCATATGCAACGAAGTGCAGAGGGAAAGCAAGCTCTCAGTTCTAGAATGTTCGTCTAGAGTCTAGCAACGGTCCAAGTTCCAAAGAAGCTTGGAGGATGCATACTCAAGCAAAGCTAGCATTCTAAACATGTCCCATCAACCCTTCAACCAAGCTTACCCTGCCCTCAGACCACTCAAAGACCTTCACATTCTCCCCATTTTTCACTCCCGACACACACCACCTGCAATGCTCCCCCCTCGCCTCTCCAACAGACAGCACCTGAGCACCAGCTTGCTCCACGTCGGCGTTGGTGGTTTTCGGCCGCGCCCTGGTAGCTGGCTTCCGTGGCGACTGAAAAAGAGAGACTGCAGGAGAACTGGGAGAAAGATCCGAATCATTGCTATATACTATATACCCAGACATGACCTCCGTTTTGACAGGAAGTTTGACCATCTTTTGAATGTTTGGTTGTCCATTTCATAGAGGTCACTCAGGTTCTAGATGTATTAATCTATTATATCATATTATACGCTAGTATATCGTATATAGTATATTATATATAATATAATATAATATAATATATACCAGGACCCTCCAGGGGTGCCCAATGGAAGCCTATAGGTAGTGTGGGGTAGTTCAGCCAGGACACCCCTTGTTGGAGGGTCCTGGTACAGTATATGTTTGTGTCATGCCTTTTCACAGGCTTCTAATAGGGCTGTGGATCTGTGACCCCTTTAGACCACTCCGCCCCTCCGCCCGGCTCCGCCCCCCCCGCCCTGCCTGGACCAACGCTGGGCGTGGGCGGCCCACGGCGCCTGGACCACGTCGCCCTCACCGTGCCCTGCGGGGCGTGGTGCGCGGCGACCGGAAGGGACATGGCGCTGAAGAAGACGAACATGGCATAGAAATGGTTGTATTGGCTTTGCTTGATCTTTGGAGTTGGTTCAATTGGAAAAAAGCCATATCAAAGGATTGTGTCTGCTACATACCACCATGGGGCCATAGATGATCTGGCCTGTCCTTTTTGAGGCAGGTCCACCTAGAACATCAGTTGATACCCTCCGTGAATCATGCAGGGGAGTATCTACACCAGTTTGTCCTGATGATCTGATGCCACCAAAATCGAAAGCATTGCGAGGGGTCTATCTATATTTTCGATGGATCCACAGTATCCGTATAGTTACACCAGCCCAGACATGACCTCTGTTTTGATACTGTAGAAGTTTGACCATATTTTCGGTGGTTGGTGGTCAAAAATAGAGGTGACTCAGGTTCTAGGATGTTCTAGGTACATAGAGGTGTCCATGCGTTACGAGGAAACATCCTGAGTCACCTCGGAGGAAAACCGTTCACGATGTATTTGACAGTTCCACGTGCTGTAGTACTTTTCGCACGGTCTTGGAATCATCAGCATCGGTCTTAAAACATCAAAGTGTTCAACGCACAACAGGTTTCCGGTGCTGATCTACCTGTCCCCTGGTAGTCCTGACTGAAAAAGCAAGTCGGGGTCCAGTGCTTTTGAGCCTTGTGAGGAGAAGAATCTGGGCCTGGAGCGCACAGAACGCCATGCACTGCTCCTGCACATGATGAAGTCAGGATTTGAGTCGATGGACCACACCTTGAGCGGGAACGTCCTTTGTGTCGTGCTGGTGTAACTCCTTGTCGGGAATATCCTGTCTGGTGATTTCTCATGTACACTGCACTGAGTTAGGTGGATGTTTCCAACAAAAATACAGACCTAGAGCCCATTTGACCCTCTGTTTTGATAGGAAATGACCATATTTGCGGAAAAAGCGCGTGACACGTGCCCCCTCCTCTGGGGCCTTCGTGTCGCTCTCCGATCGTCCCATCGCTTTGGGCTGATGGACCAACATTCCGACGTTGCCGCGGGAGAAAACAGACGTCAAGCCCTTCCAAGAGAGGTTCAGGGACCTTATGGGGCCTTACTGGGGTACCCAACTGGGATATAGTCGAACTAGGGCATAGGGTCCCTCAACCTCTGTTGGTTCGTCTGGGTGCATGAAGTTGAGACCAGGTGAAGATGGGGCCAGGTGAAGTTGGCCCCATCATGCCAGCTGAGCTGAAGTTCAACGATCATATTACTGACTGTCGGAGGAAAGACGCTGGCACCACTTAGGATCGGAGATAAGTATGCACGAAATTCTCCATCCGAAATTGGATCCGCGCAGAAGACGTTTCAAAAGTCAGATTCCATGGGTCAAACTCGCTGGTCTGGCCTGCCTGGGGAACACCAACTTGGAGCATCAATTTCAGTACACCTGGTATCCTTCCCCCCCGGACCGGACAGTTGAAGACTCTTCGTGAAATCTCCCCATGTTGGAGCAGTTGGATTTCGTCCATCCATCCATCAATCCATCCATCCCCCAGCCCCGATCTCCTACACGAACGGCATGCAAGCCGGGTCGTCCATCTGGCAGCCATTGATCCAGCCCAGAGATGCGTAGCGCAGAGATGCACATGTGCTTGACTTCGAGATGAAGTATCATCTTCAATGGTCTCACTTCATCACTTCTGTGCGTGTGTGTGTTTGATCCTTGCTTGCTTGTAATGCTTGTAACCGCTTGGAGTCTTTCCCAATCACCAATTGAATTCCTTGGGACGTGAGGCCGACCTACTGGTTTGCTCAGGGGCACCAGTTTGGGTCAACATGGAGCACCTCCGGAACTACCCCCTGAATTCTTGCAGGTACTGAGCTCTGACCACTTGTTAAACTCCGGCATCGTTCGCACCAGTTTGGTTCCGTCGTTCGCTTTTGCCACGATAGGTGAACGGAACCTCCACAAAGGAACTGACTCCTCCGACTGGACCTTTTCAACTGTGTTTGGAGTGGGCGGCTAGCAGCTGGGCAGTTAGGCCCCAGCTAGGCTGCTGGGTGTCATGTTAGGCTGCAGCTTCGGGCCACAAAACCACAAGGCCGATTTCCGGTGGGCGATCCGGTAAGGAGACCGGACGGAGCGAATGCTGTCGCTTCGATTCGTGCGGTCACGTCGTGCGGTCACGAAGTGGTGCGGTCAAGTTGTGAAGTGTGTGGGCAAAGAGAGATTGAATGGATCCCGCCACTCACCCGAAACATCGATTCTGGCTAGCAAGGCTAGCTTGTTGTAGCTTGCCGGACCACATCAGACAGACTGACTGGTGGGGGCGGATCAAAACTGGAGCCGACACCATCACGGTGACCTGTGGAACGGTGAAGAATGTTCTCTTGTGGGGTCCACACCATCTAAAGCACTGGTGCAGCTGGGAAATTGGAAAGAGATGAAGTAGCTCGAAATGGTGCGACCTTTCGCATTTTGATCGGCGCCAAGTCTTCACAGGGATTCTGTGATCAATCTGGGATAAACAATAATAGTCGGCCACAAAAGATCCAACCAAACCTCGAAACGGGGCCCTTGCCCCCGACGGGCGCTTCTCCTCCCCGTCCCCACCTGGCTCCGGAACGTCCTTGCAGCGGGCGATGGCGACAGCCCCAAAGCCTCGCGGACGCAGGAGGGCAGGTGCCAAGTGGGAAAGAGTTTGGTCTCAAAAGAGTACACCCCAGAAAACAGCTCTAGGCAGCTAGGAGGCTCCTGGCAGCTCCAACATGCTTCAATCCCTAAACGGATCAGAAGTGCCCCAGGCCGGACACATCCGGCTGGTGGAACCTGGGAGCCCAACATCCAGGGAGCCCATATCTAGTCTACGTTCGATTGAAACCGCGCGTGCGCAGCAAGGCTGTCATGGTGTTCTCATCTGGAGGTTTTGCTCAGGCAACCATAAGCTTTTGCCCTAGTTCGAGATATATGTACAGGCATCTCTACAGGTAGCTAGTAAGGAAGTCAGAGGAAGTGTCCTAGAGCGGGAGCTTGAGTGTGTCCTCATTTAATTTGGATATACACACTGAGACTTTGATCGAAAGACCTCGACCTTGTAGAAGTGGTGGACAGATTTCAACTATATATCCTTGCCCATAATCACTCCACCACCTATCGAATCCAAGCCATGCAGAAAAACGCCAGCGCATGCCAGGTGCTGAGCATCCGCGCCCTGAACTGCGAACGAATGCTGGGAGTCACCCTTCTCATCAACCTGTGGAACAGGGACGCTCTGGACCCTCTCCAAAGAGAGAATGGCATCTGGTGCGAGGGACAGATCCTACCATCTTCAAAAGGTCAGTGTTGGGGCCGGGTATGCGTCTGAGGAAATGAGCTTCACTTTTTAGGTGCGCAACACAGCGTGGTTCCAAGTTCAACCGCTCAAAGTCAGAGGAAGAACCCTTCATCCGGTAAAAGAGCCAGCTGGTAGAGAATGAAAAAGAAAAATTGACTGGATAGCCCTCCTGTCAGGGTGACGCGGCACGCCAAGCTGCGGTTGGCGCCAAGCTGGCAATGGAACAGCAGTTGAAATGCCCAAGGAGTCACGTGTGGAACGGTGGTAGTTGGTGTGGATCTTCGGACCGAGGAGGGCCCGTCCCAGCGCGCCAGCCGCAGCTCGTGCTCCGCCATCGGTTTGAAGGCCACGAAGCGCACCAGGGGCGGGAGCCAGCGGGCATCGCCTGGGCATCGACCGTCGAAAGGTTGACGAAATGCCGACCGAGCCCAGGCATGAGCTGTTTTGATAGGAAGTTTGACCATCTTTTGAATGGTTGGTGGTCTATTTCATAAAGGTCACTTAGGTTCTAGGTGGAGTATATCTCAACTCCCAGTTGCCCAGCACGATTGATCACTCTTGGTTCTCTTTTGCCGTTCTTGGTGGAAGCCAACGGCACTGTACACATGCTTGGGCGGATGCTTTGTGTGCGCGAGGGGTCTTGCAATCCATGTCTGGGGAGAGAGTTTCATGAATCAAGAGTCTACATTCTCCGGACTGCCATAGACGACTGGGCTATCGGTGATCTGTCATTGGGCACCCCTAACGGAAAATCTGTTCAGAGATGTAGCTTCTTGAATTGTCTTCTTGGTGCAATCACAAGTTGAACAAGTGAGTCATCCAATGGACCAATGCGCGCAACCAATGGTGCAACGCAAGAGTCCTCCATTGGATGACGACTCAACTTTGTCTTCATCCAATGGAATGGCTGGAACACACCAGTTGAGTGCATGCGAGTTCCGGTGACTGACGGACTGACCGACGGACTGACTGTCCAGAAGTTGAGAGTGGAACCACAAGTTGGGTGGGCTCACAACATTGAGATCCAAGGGCAGATGCACAAAACAGATCCCAGAAAACACCCCCCCAAGTCCCTATAAGTCTCACCATCAACTGCCCGCACTGCTCACCAGAAGTCGGAGCGAGTGAACATTGTTGCGGAAGGGAATTCCTTGGTGTCCAACTCGCCAAAGAAAGAACCAATCAACTTCGAACAACCTGGAAACCTGAAGAACCGGACACAAACTGTAGTTGAGATCCTTGAATGGTACATACCAGCTGCGCCACCGTTCGGGGTCACCTGGCTGGATATCTCCACACTACGTAAACAGGTCTTCAGACAGGGCACCCCGACAGGAAGCGCTAGGTAGAATGTTGATTCATCACCCCCCCCCCCCGTGAATGAATGCACGCGTACCGGGTACCGGGTCCAAAGCGTCCGCACGGTCCCTTAAGCCTTGCTACAGCGGGTACACGGGGTACCGGTGGGAGACTCCCCTGTAAAGCCTCTTCTATCTCCCTCATTCCGAATCCGCCCAGATGAAGCCCCAAGCGGGCAGAAGACGGAATGTCACTGTGGACGCTCCGGTCACAACAGCGCGTATTGCACCAACTTGAAAGTGACAAAGACATATGGGGTATTGAAACATCATATATCCAATCATCAGCATTGAGATCCTTTACAGAACAAGTCCGGGACTTTGTGGCCGCTCACCTCGCTCCCACCTCGCTCCCACCCCATCCTCCCGCTGTTCGTCCCCCGACGCGTGAGCGCGTCCGGCGGCCACTCGCCCGTGCGGCGCATGAAATCGGCCTCGAACGATCGCGGGGACGGACTGCAGCTGATGTGACTGCAGCTGTCACTGCAGATCTAGCGGTTTTTGGGGGGAAAACGGTATATAACTATGCCGAGAATGTCCCATGTTTATACCAGGCTGCCGAACTTGGAGGAAGTCGGGGTGCCCAGCTACTCCACTCACTGGATGGGACTAAAAGCCACCCCGTCTTGTGACTCCTGATATAGTATCTTTCTTGATCTTTTTTAGTGCACACGGTGCTTTGGTGCTTCGTGATGAGAAGATATCGATCACCAGAACTGGTCCAGTCGATGGTTTCAAGGTGGTCTCTAGGTGACCAAAGGAACTTGTTTTACTTCAACGTGGCCCAAAACCATCGAAATCGGACAGGTTCTGGATTCCGTTTCCCCTGTTCTACCCATCGAACATCGACCTGGCCTGCAGCACAGACACATCCACCACATTCCTTGGAACAATGGCTGGAAGCACTCAGATATATGAGCATCTTCCTTCTTGAATGTCAAAGTTTCATCTGTGATGAGCTGCTGTTTCCAATCCCCTTAGAGCTCACAAAGGTCCGAGGAACGTCTCCAAAACATAAACCCTGGAAGTCCAGTTCGACGATATTTTGACCGGATGAAGTAAAGGAAGTTCCCGAACTCAGGTCCCCTAAGACCATTCTTCATTCTTTCTATAGTCTTTGACTCCCAGGGTAAAGATCAAAACCTCCCACGGCCGGTTTCGCACCGCCCAACCCTTCTTCCGAGCGGCGAGGAGTTCCTCGAGCGGTTCCACTCCGCAGGCCTCGACGCGAGGTGGATGGTCGACGCGAGGTCGGCCAGATGTCGTTCCTGCTGGACCCTGGGCCCGTTCCGAACCTGAGCGACGTCTATGAAATGGACCACCAACCACCCAACAGATGGTCTAACTTCCTATCAAAACAGAGGGTCATGTCCGGGTTCTAGCTGAACCCTGGGCCCTGATTGAGTTCATTCGCTGAAGCATCGCAGCGACCGAAGGATTTCCCAGAAGTAATTCGAGACTCAGTGACTAATGGTGAGATGTCCCTTGAAAAACGACGGGTTCCGGCCTTCGAAATGAAGAAGTCCAGATCTGCTAAAACCACCCCGAAAACGTGCGTCACGGCTGGGTGATTCACGGGGGGGTTTTCAACCGATCCACTTCGTCCGGATCTCCTGAGGCCTCTCCCCCACCCCCCCCGTTTTCTCGATGCCGAGCCACTCCAGGGAGGTTCCCAAGGATCCACAGAGGACCACCTTTCGGCTGCGGCGAACTGGAACGAGCCGAACGCATTGGACATCGGAGCTCACGACGTCAGGACTCGTTGGCCATCTGTCATCTGTCCGCTATCTGTCAGGTTGCGAGAAGTCTCAAGTTATAGAGCTCAAGATCACCCAGGGGAAAACCAGAATGTGCCAGAAGGACAACCAAATTCCATCGGGAAAAAGTCACCATCAACCGATCCGCAAGACCAACTGATCCGCTTTTGACCCTTGTGCTCGATCTTGGATGGCTGCATGATTCGAAGCTGACTCGCTTGATTCGAAGCTGACTGGCTTGATTCGAAGCTGACTGGCTTGCTTCTCCCTTCTGCCCCTCTTCCCACCGAAGAGTGCTTCACCCTGCGCCGGCCACGCCCAGCACTTCCTCCAAACTTCCGCCCCACACCGGCCTCCGTTGGAACGCCCAATCCAAACCTTCCGCGCAAACCAAAAACGAGTGTCCCGCGCCTGAGAGTTCCACTCGATGCCAAAGAGTAGCTGCAACTTGCCCAGGAGCCGCGACAAATAAGGAGCCAAGACCTCGCCCGTTGACACGTTCCTGGACCCTCGAACACCCTCGAGTGTCCCACGGTCGAAGACCACGCCGTGCCGGGACTCGTCGACTGAGACGTGACGACACCAGTTCCAAAGATTGAACACTTTTCACCTACAAGACCTGGTGTTTCAAGAGAACGATCCAAAAGGGATCTGTTGGACCAACACAACAAAAGGATCACAAAGGGTCATGTCCGGTCAGTGATACAACGACGCTGCACTACTCCAAATCCTGAACTGGGTGCTTGATTATAGGGGGGATACAGGGAGACCGGAAGCTACTCCGATGGACGATACTGGGATTGATGGGATACTGACCAGGACCGACACCAAGAGGTGTCTATAAATAGCCTCTTAGAGCTGGTTCGGGGTGTCCAAAAACCACCGGACTTGGTTTCGGTCCTGGGATTGAGCCCAGAGATTCGTTGTGGGCTGATTTGGCGCAGAATATTCCTTGGGAGTGGGTGCTTCGTTCGGCAAATCACACGAGCGCCTCAATGTCAGAAGAATCGTTCCACATGGACAAAACTGGCCATTTCGATTGGCCACCACAAGCTGCAAGCAACAATCCCTACCCCTACCAATAAAGCATCCCGAAACCAAAAGGGATCAAGAAATGTCAAGAGATGTTAAGAGTGAACGATTTAACAAATGATAGCAAATGCGTCAGGTGTAAGGACAAACACCATCAGAATCTCCAGCTGGGTGTCGCGTCGTCCATCCCCCACTGCTCCCAACCCATCTTTGGGTCGCCCAAACCGCCCCAAAGAAGTCCCAGGAGACCCGGGAGTGGCAGTCGCCCAGCAGGAAGAAGCTGAAGACATAGGCCGGAGTGATCTGCAGACACCGACCAGGGCGCTGAAGACATAGGCGGTCTGATTTCCAATTGATAGAAGAAGTGATGATGACACCAAGAAAAAGTTAGGGTCATTTCGTGGATCAAATCAGAATTACACTAGCCTACTCTTCAGGGGAGATGTCTATCTCCATGTCCGCCAAATCAGCCCCATTTTCTCGTGACAGATGCCCCCTTAAATCAGTTTGCCCGGGTGATCCGTGGGGTCATTCCCGGGGTGATCCCTGGTCGAGTGCCGCCGTGAAGCTCGGAAGGGGGGGCCTCGTGTCCCACGGGATCGGTTCTGTTGATGAACGACGGGCGCGCGAAAGCAACAGATGGTGTGAAGATCGGCGCTTCAAACCAACAGTAACAGATAAGAAAAATCGAATGGAGGGGGGTTTGGAATGAGTCATACTTAGCTTCTGGCTGTGGTCGAAGTCATGGCTCAAAGTGGACGTTTAACAGGTTTAGAGGACAAATACGATCCCAAAGGGACGGCCGTTTCTTGAAGTCTTGATCGAGCTGATACTCAGGATTCAAGAACCAATGAAGAGATGCTTTGCCAGACTAAGCCACGTCCAATAGCATTCTTCTGTATTCTTCCTGCTGACCTTCCACTAACTCCAAGACCCAAAGACTCCTTCAGACCTTGGTGTTGCATTTACGTACGAGTTCGGACCCCTCCGTCTCCTCGTCACTCTTCCAGGTTGAAGCTCGAACCCGTCGAACCCGTCTCCATCGACCCATCGACCCATCTGCCTCGAAGAGGGACGCCCCTCCCTCCAAGAGGGACGCTCTCCGAAACCAGCTTTCCTGTGTGCGTTCGCGGAGCTGACGGGACAGGGAGCTCCCTCCGCCGGCGTTCGGCGTGCGTTCGGCGTGCGAACGGCAGGAGTTCGGCGCGCCCGGGTCCCACCGCGTTTTCCGTGAGTTCGTGCGGTGTTGGGAAGCTGGGACATCAATCTCATGGGGCGAAAACCAAAAGTGAAAAGGGTGTGAACCAGACGTGCTAAAAGCAAGTCCAGTGAAGCTCCAGCCCCAATCCCAGAGAAATCAGTCGTCTTTGTAATAAATTTCAGGCAGCCCAGCAACCCCACCCAACCCAAAGGAAAGCATCACCGACTGAACTCTCGCGTTCACTCTTCCTGAACTCACCACCACCGGAGAAAACCACCAACCACCGCGGTACACCGCGGAGAACACCACCGCGGTGCACCGCGGTGGTAAGGCCGCTCGGCGGACCGGCTCTCCTCGCCTTGAGAAGGCTGGCCGTCGAGGCGGCGAGCTCTCCAAACCTGAGGTGTCCGGGCGACGAGACCGGGCGACGCGATCGGTGAAGAGAGTGCACCAAGGACGGACCGAGTCAAATCGGTGAGTCGCGTGAGTTCAGTGTGAGCACGAAGCTGTTTTGTGTGTGTTAGTCTTAGTGAGAGTGTGTGTGTGTGGCTGGAGCTGAAGAAAACCCTCTGATTTGAATCGTTTCGATCTGATCTGCCCAAAACACAAATAGCATTGCGTAAAAACACCGCACCCTCGGTAAAGACGACCGCGTCACCGTTCAGCAGTGGTTCCAAAAACAAATCAACCATACCTAGCGCTTCCAAGGGGTGCCCAATGGAGACCTGTAAGTAGTGTGGAGATATCCATTGGTGACCGATTGGAAGCAGCTGGTAGAAACCAAACGTCCCGTTCAGTCAAAGCTTGGGGATTTGAGAGAACTTGGACCCATCCATACGAGGGTCCCGGGGAGCGATCCGGGCAGGACATATCCGTCGGTTGCAGCAGTTTTTTCCGCGGTTGGCAACTTGGCACTGAGCCAACTTTGATTCAACAAGGGGTGATATGAATCCACATGAACCAAACTCCTGGACCATCACACTTATAGAAATGCGTACTGATGTGAATGCGGTGCCACACGCCGGCCTAAGTGACAACCTAAAAATCCAGGGAAACAAAACACCAAATGACTGCCCTCACCTCCAAGCTCAAACTGCAAGCTTAAACTCAAGATCAAGCGCGTGACTGCCGATGGTGAACAGATGCAATGGCTGGCAGCTTGTTCTAGTGACAACGGGACCACATAGGAAATTCACAAGTACAACGCAGGTACAGGAAGGTGATCAGCCTTCGGGTAAGGGATCAAAATAAAAATAAAAATAGAATCAAAAAAAAATATTCAACGGGGATCAATAAAAAAAATAAAAAGGTAGTCAAAAAAAAATATTCTAGCCCACTGAGGATGGTTGGGGTAGTAGTAGTAGCAGTAGCAGTAGCAGTAGCAGTCAGCAGCAGCAGCAGCAGGAGGAGGAGGAGTGGTAGTAGTAGTGGTAGCAGTAGCAGTAGTCACGGCGTTCACACGAAGTTAGGCCCTACATGGCGTTGTTAGAGCGCTCGGAGACAGAAGGACTAGGATACCAGGGGACCAGCGGACCACAGGACCAGAGGACCAGGAGACCGGAGGACTAGGGGACCAGTGGACTCAAGGACCAAGGGACCAGGGGACCAAAGGACCAGTGGACCAGAGGACCAAGGGACCACATTACCAGAGGACCCGCAGACCACAAGGCCAGGAGAGCAGCAGAAAAGGCCTATCAAGGAATATTTATTTTTTGCTTTGCTTTTTATTTTTTGATCCTGTTTTTATGTTTTTTGATGCTCTTTTTTTTTGATACCTATGCCATCAGCCTTCCCTTCCCATCCATGACCGTAGCTTCGTTGCACACAGTAGGTCATTGATGCCGTGTGCCCCTGCTAAAAAGAAGAGTGCAAAACAATCCAAAAGGAACCTCGTGACTCCAGAAGATACACACACACACACACGCCCCCCCAAGGGGAGGCGTTCTTTTTCTAGTAAGCTCCGGACGAGGGTAAGGTTGGGTGAAAGTTGAGCCTACAAGAATCGGTGAATCTCACGAAAGGTCTGGTAGGAAGGGGATGGTGGCATGGCGGGAGGAGCCGGGATGGGAGGCAGAGGAATCATCACTCTAAGGTCCGGCAGGTTCCAACGAGCCTTAAAATGGCTTTGGTCGCTCTGACCACGTTGAGGCGTTAAGCCAGCTTAGACCGCTGCGGTCACGTAGAGGCATAAGCCAGCTTGGAGTTCAAGTGAGTTTGGCTTAAGCCTACTTTGTCCGCTGCGGACTGCTTTGTATCCGGGCAGGGGATACGTTCGACTAACCCCCGTTCAACGGGTCCACAGGGGCCACTCTGCGGGATCACCCTGGGCTGGCATGAAGCCAGACACACTTATAGAAGCGCGTACTGATGTGAATGCGGTGCCACGCCGGCCTAAGTGACAACCTAAGAGTCCAGGTAAACAAAACACCAAATGACTGCCTTCACCTCCAAGCTCAAACTGCGAGCTCAAACTCAAGATCAAGTGCGTGACTGCCGATGGTGAACAGATGCAACGGCTGGCAGCTTGTTCTAGTGACAACGGGAACAAATGGGAAATTCACAACTGATCAGCCTTCCCTTCCCATCCATGACCGTAGCTTCGTTGCACACGGTAGGTCATGGATGCCGTGTGCCCCTGCTAAAAAGAAGAATGCAAAACAATCCAAAAAGAACCTCGTGACTCCAGAGGATACACACACACAGAGAGACACACACACACACACACGTCACAGAATGTCCACCATTTCTGTGAAATCCACGCGTCACAGTCTGTGAATTCTTTGAGCAAGTTTCTTTCCGTGAAAAAAGTCCTGAGCGACAGGGGTCACGACCGCACGGGGCACCTGGGCTTCCCACGGCACGCTCGAGAACCTCCTGAGGCGATGGCGTCCCAGTCTGATGTGGATGGTTTGGTCTGAAGAACATGGATCTTATGTGTGTTTTCTATACCAGCACCACGGAGTATTCCGGGTGTGCACTGCATAGCCCCAAAAAAGGAGGTCAATTCGGAGTGTCCATGTCTACCACCCCAAGCTGTGAGCTGGGGGTTCAGGTATATTTATATATATAATATGCGTTAGACCGTCCCGCCTCCGCTGGTGCGGCTGGTGGGGTCCATCACCCGTTCGTCCGTTCGAGGTCGCTACGGCTTGGTGACGTCGGTGGCGGCAGTTCGCGCGCGGCGCTTGGCGCTTAGGCGCAACAGGGTCGTGGAGTTCGTGAGCCACACGGGCAGCGGAAAAGGCTCCTGATATCTAGTGATAGCTAGTCAGACTGGGCTCGATGGGATTGCCGTGAAACCGTCCCATGCTTCCAGCCCTTCTTCAGTTGCTGGTTCCCAGAACCCTCAGGTTCCCAACCCGTTCCCAGCCAAACCTTCCACAGCTCATGAGCTTAGAACCAGACAGGTATGCTCTTCGTCCGGCGCTTAAAATCAACGTGTTGCCTCAGTGGTCGAGAGATCTTTGACCCTTCCAAATGGTCACAGAGTCACCGCAAACTGAGATCTTAAAGCCGACTGGTGATTAGCAAAACAGTCTAGTTGACTGGAGATATTCTACCATCTAGTCGTTTGTTTTCATATTTCATTCATCAACAGTCTCAATCTTCTGCATTACGCTGGGCATGAAGTAGAGGACCTACTTCAGGTGCCTCTCGCCGTCACATTGGCTCAATGGTTTCTACATGTCTTCCTTGGCTCTCCGGCCCTCCTGGACTCTCACCAAGACCAGCTCGAACCTGGCTGAAGAAGAACCGATGCCACAAGTGACGCCACAAGTGATGCTGGCGCCGTGCGAAAGGGCACCAAACCTAACGTTGCGAAAGGATCTGCCTCATTGTTAGGGGTTAATTCTGCAACCTTGTGGTCTTAGCAACCTTTGGAACCTAAGGGCCGGACACCCGAGTTCTGCCCCCTCTGAAGTTGAAGATTCAACTTCCCAAAACAAGAAATTGAGCAGTCCTGAGTGTCTTCGAAAGAAACCCTCACCAAACTAAGCAGAAGCTACCCCCTGGAAGGGCAGGGCGCATCTGCTTTGCCACGAGCTGGCGCTGATTCGGACACTCTGAACCTCTGGTGGAAGCCCACCCACAATGGCACGGTGTATGAAAACGAAGAACCAATATGCGTTCATCTAAGTGAACAGTGCCTTTGAAAGGATGGAAAACGGAAATACCGATGATTATGGCTCCACTAGGGCTCCCCGACACCGGCTCGGACGAAGCGCTCGTGGCAGCGCTCGTGGCCTCGGAAGAAGTGTGGGGCCCTCTCTCTCTCTGTCCGAACATCCCGGTTTTCAGTTCGGAACACGTCGCGCAAAAAACCACGCGAGTTCGGAACGCATCGCGCTTGGAACGCGACACTTTCAGCCTCCAGTGCTTCGAGGCAGCTCGCCTCATCGACCTCTGGGAGCTCTGACCGCGGAACAGCGGAACGAGCGAGACGCACCGGTCGGCCATGGGAGTTCGGCGGCACATGCCACATGGCGAGGATGAGGAGGTTGAAAGTTACCATCATACGATTATAAGTGCTTGTCTCTATTACTATGTCCCTTATGATGAACTTTCATATTAGAGCGATGAACCCGAAGGAGAGTGATGAGCAGTAGCAACAAACGAAAAACCGAGTCGTCAACCAAGTGCAAGAGTCCAACAACTGGTGCCAGTGGTGGGAAAATGGTCTTCTAGGGAAACTCACATGTGTGTGTGTGCCACCTCCCGTTTGCAGGGACTCTGCCTTTCTATTAACTCTCTACTGGCGGAATTGTACAGACAATCGCAGGGGGGCCCAGGGGGACTTGGATGGCATGGGCCAATGAGGACCCGTCCATGTTGCCGTGAAAACGTACCTGCACCAATTGTTCAAACTTCATTCCGCTGAATCTTTGTGAGCCTAAGTATGGCCAAAGCTGTCTAATGCGGTGTTTTGCTACAAAGGTCTAATGCACTCGGCTAATGCAGTAACGTAAAGGGCAAGTGTGTTTCGCAGCTTCTTCCCACCGTGGTAAGCTATGTGATCCCCGGGGCGGCCGTTACCGAGTCTCAACTCCTTTTCAGGAGAGCAGTTTCTGAAAGTCCTTTTTGGACGTCACCTTGACGCAGAATGTTTTTGCCCGAAATGATTTCTAAGAATGCGTTTCACTCTTGAATCGTGCATCTATGCTGCAAAGCTACTGTAGTCCTACCACTGAGTCAGCTTCACACGTGAAAATCTCAGTTTCAGTTTTCAACAAAACTTGTCGATTTGTTCGGCGCCCTTGCTCGGAAGACACATTTTTGCGGTCACTTCTCTCTCCTTCCCGATTCGTTTCTCTTTTCTGCTTTCTCTCTCTTCCTTCCTATTGGCGTGCGCCGGAATCGGCTTCTTCGTGTCAAATTACACTAGACACAGTTCCTACTGGATCTCAATTAATTTGCCGTTCATTCGGCACATTTGCTCGGAAGATGCCTCTTTTTTGCATGTTTCTCTCCTTCCAGATGCGTTTCTCTTCTCTGCTATCGTTTCTTCCAGAGGCTTGTTAGGTTGTAAAAGTAAGGTTCTTTTGCCCAACTGACTGACAAACTGACTACACCTACTTTCACTCTTGCCCTTTTCTTTTTGCTCTTTCTCCCTTTCTCTCTTTCTATAGGCTTGTTAGGTGGCTATTCAAGTTTTTTGCACGTTTCTAGCAGCGCCGCTTCGGCACATAACTCTACCTTTCTATTATATATATATATATAACTCATACCCCCTCGAATTCCTGGCGTATGTAGGGGTGGTTGATTTTTTAAGGAACATGTGCCACAGAATCAACCACCCCAGGTTCGCCAATCTGAAAAGCTTTACAAAATCAAACCCCCCAGGACGCAGGCAAGGGACAACTCTCCAGCCGATATTGCAAAATCAACTGTCCCAGTCTCAAGATACAGTCTTTACAAAATCATAGGCACTCTGTTGACATGGCTCGGGACAATTACAAAATCAACCACCCCGAGGCCTCAAACAAGATACAAAATCTCAATCATTAAACCTGGATTGGAAAAAACAAACGATTTTGTAATGATTCGGCGCGACCTCATCGAGACGATACGATACGATACGATCAGACAGTAGCACGGACCAATGTGCCAAACAGTTGATTACAAAATCAAACATCCCAATGTCTATCACTAGGAAACAGCTTTACAAAATCAGAGGCACCAAGAGAGCATCCAGAGGCACTTATACAGAATCAAGAATCTCAGTCTCGGTTTACTTATCGCTACAGGTTCACAGGTTCACAGGTCCCTTGGTTGATGTTCACAGGTCCCTTGGTTGATGTTGACTTCTCGCTGAAACCTTGTGCCCATGCAGTGAGTCGACTTCACGCGACGTGGGTTGACTTAAGTACGGCGCTTGTAGATATCCTCCTAGATAGAAGGCTTTCAAAAGCCCTCTCCCCCGGCTCACTTGTGACAGGTGGGGAAATTTCTGCGACAACGAAGGTGAAGCATGAGCCTCTAGTAGAAGGCATTGGAGTGTGGGGGTTCCACTGCTAAAAGGATTCTGAGGTTTCACATCTTCCTTGGTACTTTTACCTTCATGATCCTTCACGTGTCCACCTGGAAACCATTACCCCCAGAAGCCCTGACTGGACATCTATAGACATTTAATTGTGGCAGGCGCGGGGACGCCAGCATCCAAGAAGGCGCAGAAGGCGAAGAGTCTTCAAGCAGAAGGCAAGTGAAGCGTGGGTTTCAATGGGTCTGTTGGGAGACTTTTTGACAGAGTTTATCAGACTGGTTCGATACAGTAGAAAAACCTGTTTAACCTAGAAACAAGTGCCTTCAGAAGCCCTCACTAGATGTTTAATTGCGGCAGGTGTGGATACTCCTTCACCAAAGAAGGCAAAGAAGAAAGAGGATCTTCCAGCAGAAGGCGTTGAAGTGTGGGATAGACTGGGTAAAGCTGGGTGAGTTTGCTCAAAGAGAACACGTTCATTAAACATCAACTCAGCAGCGATACTCAACGAGGCTCTTGGGATGCCTGGTGTGCGTGTGTGTGTGTTCTAATATATCCTATCTATGATATATCATGAAAAATTATGCGAATTATTGAGAATTTATGAGACCATGTTCTACAGCAGCTCAACCCACTACAAAATCAACTGTCCATGCTTTACAGCAGGTCAATCGATTACAGACTCGACTGTCCATGACAACCACCCCACCCTCAAACTTGCATAGAATCAAGGACCCCACCCTCACCAGTGCGGCACTTTTGACATCCATACCAACATATCGATTCCTTACAAAATCAACAGCCCCAAGAAAGAATGCTGCCCTTACAAAATCAACCTCCCCACCCCACAAAAACGGGTACCTGAGAAGCAATTTTTTTCTTTACAATATCGAAGCACTTTTTGTTACCCAGGGAGGTTGATTTTTAAAGGAAATTTCAACGGGTATTATAACTCTCTACTGGCGGATTTGCACAGACAATCGCAGGGGGCCCATGGGGACTTGGATGGCATGGGCGAACGAGGACCCATCCATGTTGCCGTGAAAACGTACCTGCACCAACTGTTCAAACTTCAATCCGCTGAATCTTTGTGAGCCTAAGTATGGCCAAAGCTGTCTAATGCGGTGTTTCGCTATAAAGGTCTAATGCACTCGGCTAATGCAGTAACGTAAAGGGCTAATGAGCACCGAGATCCAACCTGAAATCTTGCTCCATGGAGCTCTTTTCTCAAGTGTGTAAGTGTGTGTGTGTGTGTGTCTGTTTGAGTGTGTGTTTAAAGTTTAAGATATACTTGGTGGTACAAGTCGTGAACGTGGATTCTGAAACCAACCTCCCTCAAGGCACTCTTTCAGACGAAGACTTCCAAAGCTTTTTCGGAGCCCTCCCCGCAAACACACCAAATCCATGAACAGTGAAACCCCATCAAACGTGCCATTGGGCCAACTCACTGGCGAAAAGCCTCAAAATGCCTTTCGACTTGTGAACTGGGGTGCGAGGTCCCATCCCCATCTCCCTGCTCAAAAGAGCTACGAGTGGGCCACAGGCATCTGCCGAAGAGGGGGATGAGGCCTGAAAGCGGATCTTTGCAGACTGCTTCGATCGAAAAGTGAATCGCTCACCGGCGGAGAAGCTTGAAAGGAGTACCAAGACCCCCTGCAGGCACGGCTGAAAGGGGTGTCTAATGATGGCCTCCTACGGATGATTCGGGGCCTTCATGAACCACCCATTTCTTTGCAAAGACCTGAAGGCTTCAAGGCTGCGGAGGCTCCCAACGGTCCAACGATCCGGCCACCCAGGAGGCTCCAAACCTCAGCTCCTGAGTGAAAGGGCTTTCCCTCCCTCTCTTCCATCCAAAGTGTCACGTGCTTCTTCGACCGATTTCACCTGGCACCCAGTCCAACCGTACCTCAGGAGGTAGGCCAGGAGCCCTATAGTAGCTAGGGTATGTGGGTGTGTATTTGAATAGGGAACCCCCTTTCTCGACCCTGGCGGCGTAGACTCTCTTTCCCGAACCGAACTGAACGGGGTCGGGACGCCGGGTGTCGGTCTCCTAGACCCCCTTGGCCCTTGACGATGTCATGTTCCATCCAAAATAGCAGAGAGAGAGAGAGAGAGTAGATGGCACAGACTGCAAGAAATGGTTATATGAATCCCCATCTAAAAGACATCATGGGGTTTGTGCCATCTACTCTGAAACTACTGTAAAGGACCACCCCCTTGACTTCCTTCCAAACGGAAAATCGTCTTCCACGAGGCAGTCACTTCCACCGCAACGCGCCGGGCACGAGCGGATATGCCCTCCGAGGCCAATCTCGAGCCGGTATGTTGGAGTGCCCAACAAGAGACGCCAAAGAGAATTAAGCATCAAGAACATCAGCATCAACTCGATCTGTGATCATCTTGGTGGTTTGGGTTAGTTTGGTTGATACTATACACGTTCTTCTTTTGTCCAGATCGCCCCACCAAGGGCTGTTATACCCGTGGACCCCGCAGGACTGCTGCGACTGCTGCGGCGAAGCTTGGACGGCCGAGCTGCGACTTTGACGATGACATTGCCTCGGGTCGAGGACTTGGGCGGAAGAGATGGCGTGGTTTCAGATCGTTTCAGACTGAGCTTCGATGGCGCCGGCGCGCGGCGCGCTGTCAGTGCCCCCAAGGTCGGTGGTGCAATGGATCCCCATCTGTCGACAGACGACGTCTTGGGGGGGGGGCCTGTGCCAATTCTCACCTCTGAAAACCACAGGGGTCACAAAGGATGGCTTTTAGTCCCATCCAGTTAGTGGATAATGGGCACCCCTATCCTCCAAGTTCGGCACCCCGTCTTGTGACTGCTGGTATCCAGGTCACGAAAAAACACGTGGCAGGATCCCGGTGCTCATCGGCTGCGCTCGGTGCGGTTCCAGAAGGATGCCCCAAGCGATGCGTGCCCGGGCAGTGCGAACTCGGGGTGCTGAAATGAAGCCCCCACCGGCAGCCGGACCCCAGAGAGCGGTTGGGAAGAAACTCATCATGGAGAAGTAAGAACCCCTATAGTTTGCAAATGCTTGCAGCTCTCTGGGGAAAAATGGGTTTTCCCGGCTTGGAAACCTCGAGTTATTAACCAGAAACAAGTGGTTGGGACCAGCTTGAGATCCTTTACATACATAGGAAGTGCCTGGGACCTGTGTAAGATCCGTTGGTTTCGGGTGGTGTTTTGGGGGGTTCCAGGTGGTTCTGAAGGTTCGTTGCCTGAACTTCCGGGACCCCGGATTGTGAGGTCACGTAGGTGTTTTTTCTGGAGCCTAGGTCCTTTAGGTACTCCAAAATAACGGGTCACGAACGAAGAAGCTAGTACCTGGAACCTGAGACTCACCAACCCCCCTGCAGGTTCGTGCTCTTCTGAGTCCTGAGTCGAGGCACCTAGCGCGTTGGACACTTTGTCTCTGAAGCTTTGCAGAGCCTGAGCCAGAAACGCTCGCGGCTCGCTCGCTCCGGTGGATTTCCCCACGCAAAGCATGGAAGAAAGACCCGAGACGGGCAAACAGCTCAGCTGCGGATCTCAAGTCAAATCACGTTGATTCCGAAAAATCACATCTTGAACTCTAATAGCTTGGATGAGCCCCGGTGGTCATGATCTTGCCGCCTCCGTGATAGACCGATGGGGCCCAAGGACATCTCCTTCCCAAATGGAGTCTTACAGAGGGAACCAAGGTGAACGAGACGAACTTGATCTGAAAATGTGTGTCTGTCTCAAACTTCCTTGTCTGAATAGGCAGGCTTATCTAGTTTGTCGGATGCTCTCCTGCTGTTTAGACCTGTATCGCCTTTTGATATATACCTGATGAGTGTGGCTGGGTCAGCACGCATCCTTTTGAAGGATGTGCCCGGTGTCAGGTCTTTCGAAGTGTAATGTGAAGTGTGCAGTTGCTGGGGATTCGGGATTCAGTTGGAGCTGTTCTACAGCCCTTGGGCACTTAGAGTGGCACTTCTGCCACCTTTGTGCCGAAGGCTAGCTTTGACTGGCTTTTGGGCCTTGAAAAGCAGGAGGATGGCTGAAAACAGTTTGGCCCTGGAAGTTTAGAGCACAAAAAAAGTGCGGCATGGTAAACTGGGTTCGCCGGAGTGGGCGCGAATGCTGTGGCCATCTTTGCCCGTCACATCTGGACACGTTTCTCACACCGATCCTCTTGGTGTTCTGCACCTGGCACCTTTTGGTCAAAGTTTTATTCGGAAACTAAAAGGTGATCTTCGGAAACTTTACGGTTTTCTTCGGAAACTAATCTTCGGAAACTTTACAGTTTTCTTCGGAAACTAATCTTCGGAAACTCTACGGTGTTCTTCAGAAACTAATGTTCGGAAACTACAAAGAGTCGAAGAGCAACATCAAACCTGCACGGAAATCTTTCTGCAGGTCGCAAAACAAGCATGTATGCTCCGTAGCCGTCACAAGGCACGTCAATATCCCACCCACCTACCCCCCACCCACCCAGTGCTCCTTCATGCAAATTGGCTGCAACATTGTAAAAGTTCTGAGGAATACTTTCTAAAGTTAGCTTTCTGAAGATCGCGAAATAGTCTCTGAAGATCGCGGAATAGTTTCTGAAAATCGCAAAATAGTTTCTGAAGATCGCAAAATAGTGTCTGAAGATCGCGAAATAGTTTCTGAAGATCGCAAAATAGTTTCTGAAGATCCCAAAATAGTTCCTGAAGATCCCAAAATAGTTTCGGAAGAATAGTTTCTGAAGAGTAGTTGCGGAAGAGTACCAAATAGTTGCGGAAGAAAAGTTTCAGAAGAATGGAGAGTTGCGGAATAGGACTTTATTCGGTGCACCATTCCGTTTCATCCTCCTTTCTGGCAAAAAACCGCTGTGATCCGCTGTGTGTATGTGTGCCGTTGTTTACGACGCCACGTACGACTGCCGTTTGAGGCCCTGCACGACGACCTTCAGAGGATCCAAGTCACCCGGCTTCAGCTCCGACCAAACCGGTCGTCCGGCTCTGCGGTCGTCCGGCGAGCGCCCCGGGCCTCCTGGTCCAGGTCGCCACTGATCTCAAGCACATCCTGGACAAGAGATCGAGTGGATCGGAGGCCGGTGGGTGAAGGGTTTTTAGGATTGAAGTGGTGGGGATGCACCTCCGAAAAAGCATCACAACAACCATGGCTAGAAGAACAGAAACCTTAAAGCTTTGATCTGTATGCCACACTTGAGTCACTTGAAGCTAGTTGGGAAATGTCCAAACGGTCACACCAGAGGCTCACAGGAGAATTGCTACCTGCTACCCTCATCTCGACCCAAACCAAAAAGTCGAAACTCCAAATCATGAAACCATCTGGCTCAAAAGTGTCTGTGAAGACTGATGGTCCCAGCAATCTTGAGAGCAAAGGCAGAGCAAAGACTAAGGGATCCACTACCCTCTGAGAGTGGGGGGACACTCCGAGGTGTAGGCGCCAGGAGGCTCCGAGGTGCTTCTGAGCTATATATGTGGGAAAACTATGGTGATGGACCAGTTGAGATGATGAACCACCCCCGCGAGCGACCAGTGGGTAAAGGTTGCTGTTCGAGAGAAAATGGGTGCACCGGCAATTCCAGGAACAACCCGTGATTGGTCCCTACTTGTCCAAGGGGCGACTTTGGGTCCCGACTCATTGAGCGTTTCATCCAAGTGTGGATGGAAAAAGGCATCCGAAACTTATAGCTTCCAGCTGACGACAGCAACCTCATTCTGAACCACATGCTTCTTTGGATCTTTCTTGACCGCTTGCACATCGCTCCCATGGCCTCAGTCTAGGGGCGTTAAGATCCTCCTACTGATGACAAAAAGCATGACACCACCCTGACCAAGAAAACCACCGGCGCGGCTGCCGCGAGACTCCCGTGTGCCGCTGCCCTTCGGTGCGGCTCCCGCGCCGCTGCGGAGCGGTCGTCTCGGGTGGTCACCTCGCCTTCGACCAGAGCTGCCGTAGCCGCTCGGGCCTGAAGGGGCGAACGAGGAGGAACGGGTGTCTGGACTGCCGAACGAGGCATGGAAGAACGACACGAGTTCAACCGAACTGGGCCCTGAAATCCGATGGTGGTCGTGTGGTTTCCCAAGGTCCGGAAATCGGTCCGGTGTGGGGCCCCCTATAGAGGCACCTACTGGACCAATCTTCGATTTCATCCGATTGCCCAGAAAGTTGAGTCCAGGACAGGAAATCTGGACAGGCGAGGGCATGACGGGGCACTGATTCGTGCTATGGGCTTGTGTCTAAACTCTAAACCATGCTCAACCCCGAGTTGCCAGGTAAAGAATGACTAGACATCTTCTAATGTTCACAATACATGGTTGTGTGGCTTTGACCAAATCTCCCTTCCACTTGACCACTCTTTTCCAGACCTCCTGTCTACTTATGATTGGGTCATGCATCATCAAAACTTCAAAACTTGCCCAGTCAGGTCCTTCAGTCAGGGACCGGCGAAACAAGAGCCAACAAAACCCTCAAAAATCACTCCACATTGCAACTGCAACTCTTGTGCACATCCAGCCATGTCTCTTCCACCGCATGGCGAAACCCATGCGTTTGAAGGGAAGGAAGATTGGAAAAATGCTCAGTGAACCTGGGTCAGAACTACAACATATAACAGCATCTAACCAAGATTGAAAGTAAAAGACACTCCCTTCGTTTCGTTCAGGGACAGTCTCATTTCATTCAGTCCAAACGGCTGGGAGGTCGCTGCCAGCCGTTGGATCTCCTCCAAAGGGAGTGGAGCGCGGGGAACACCTCCGCGGAGCACGGAGGCGTCGGGGTTTTCGGGCTCAGCTTGGGCTTGGCAGGAACCGATGCAGCGAAGCAAAGCGAAGCAAACCAGATTCAGGGTGGGGAAGTTCGGTCTCCTCCCCTCAATCCGAGCGAAGCGTCCGGGGGGTATGTAGCAGAGAATTTCGATCCGACGCTTACCTGCTGTGAACCTCAATTTGTTGCTCCAGCAACGTCCGGTTTCGTCGCTTCTTTTGTCATTAATATACAAGAAACACGCATGGAGACTAGCACGAACCACCTCAAAAAGTCAATTGCTGCAGGCCCAAAGCCCCAAGACCACCAATCCCTCACTTGCCATTGAAAGTTGAAAGCCCTTACGAACAATTCTGGGTCAAGATCAAACAACCCACGGTGCTACCCACGTCCGCATTTCACAGGGTCGGCTAGCCACAAACCCCTCTGCAGCTCAAGCACTCACGATCCATGTCACCACAAGACCACCGAAGCCAGCGATGGCCTAAGCCGGGCGAAGTCAGATGCGCCAATGATCTTCTCGAATTCAGGGCAGGCATCCCGAAATGTCACCGAGCAGGGTTCAAGTCCCAGCCCACCAACCTTAAACACACTAGTAACAAGAAGCTACTAGGGGCTCCTGGCCTTACTACGAACACAGCGATCGGACGCTACGAACGGGGCTCCTGGCATCGCTACAAATACTAGGAACAAGAAACATTCTTCCCAAGTTGTCTGGGATTCTTCCCTCTTCCTGCTGGGCACCCAGTTGTCTGCTTCCCTTTTCATCAAGTCATGCGGGTGGAACACGATGTCTGCTTCCCTTCACCACTCCCTTCATGACATCCAGAGGATCCCCAGGCCCTGCCAGGCACGAGTCAAGCATGAAATCTCAAGGAAAGCACTACTTTTTTCAATCCTGCCAGTGGGCTTGTTCTCCAGGCGATGGGCTGATTTGACTGGAGAAACTTCCTCATCCGCCAATGAGTCACCTCATCACAAAAAGAAACAAATACTTGATATTTTATATATGATATATCAATATGAACTGCAAAAAAAGCGATGGATTCAATGGGATCTTCCAACCCGAAGAAGACTTATGAAGACTGTCATCTTTGGTTGGGGTGGCTTAGTGGCTTCACTGGTTGGCCCAATCTGCTGAGCCCAGCCTCTTCCAGGCGCTCTAAGGCCATGGCGAGGTAGTAGAGCCTCGGTAACCCAGCTGGACTAAAGCTCGGCCATTCGTCAGTCGGAGACGAGGCACCAACGACACCCCGCAACACAACCCAGCTCCTCCAGGCCATCCCGAGCTACCCTAGCGCCCCAAGCTTAACCCCACTACTCCCACCATGCAAGCCTGCCACTGGACGCAGCCTCTCCGAGTCATCTCCCATCACCCGAGCTAGCCGAGCTCGAGCTCCCCGGCAAGGCCAAGATTCTCAACTTGGAGGCCATGGCGCAGCTCTTGTTCCACGGCCTTTATGTAGGGAAGTCCCCCCAAACCACCCATGTTTTTACAAGTTGGGAGGCCCCTGCTCTTGCATTCGTCCCAGAACGGCGAATCACCGGACCAATGGCGTAACGTTTGGGGCGATGAAGGCCAACCACAGACCGCTCACCCAAAAAAGGACCTCGGGAGCTGGGGAGGTGGTGAACTGGGATGATGGTAAGTAGCAAGTGGTGGGAAAGTGCTTTCCTCATCCAAGTAGACCTGCTCCAAAGTGAAGATGTGAAGCCAAAGAAGTTTGGTTCAGGCGACGAGACAAAGTTTCACCCGCCAGGACGGGGGAATTCCTCCTTTTGATCTGACTGACCTCTCCACTTCATCTCCCACAGCATGTTGGCGCAACTTCAGGCATCGGCATCGGCATCTATCTATTAAATCTGTGGGTAATGGACATGGAGCGATTGCTGCACTCCTGCGAAAGTGTCTCTGCTCTTGTCTTCTTCAAATGATTCGGCCAGCGAGCTCTAGCCAGACTGCTTCGGAAAAGGCTTTGACTCCAAAAAACCGTTGAACCCCGCGAAGAAACAAACCGGAGAAACGATCAGAAACGTACGTCGACTTGCTGAGTACGGCGTACGGGTGACTCCGAACCTCGAAGGGGAAGACCGTTCCAAGACTACAGTATCGGCCCAATGTCCAGAGTTCAGAGAAATGGGGCTGGAGAATGTTACTGTAAAAACGATGTGTGCGAGTCATGTACACCCTGTTTGATGCCGAATCACCTCTAAGCGACTAGTAATGGACACCTCTTAGGGGGCCCTTGTGTGTCTGAGTGTGTGTTGAAATAGGAAGACCCCCTGGCCCCCCTGAAATGTGTTTTGGTCATGTTTGGTCCACTGAATCATGTTTGTCCTTCTTGCAGGGGGGCTTCCCTGAACGCTTCGATTCGAATGAAGATATCTTTGGGGTTCTCCACTGTTCTGTCTTCTCTCAAGGATATCAGCCATGCCTCCTGGTGTTGAATGGCAGCAATGTACCCGATACGGACCAATGAAACCCATGTCTCCATGAAACACTGTGCCTCCATTCTTGGAGGTTCTTGTCTTCTTAAGTTCACCTATCACCCCATAACAACCCTATCACCTCATCTTCACCGTATTCACCAGAAAACACCCTCTCCCATCACTTCCACCGGTCGCACCCCCACCGGTCGCCTCCCAACAGCGACTCGGCTTTTTCACCGCGACTCAGCCTTTGCCTGGCGCGACCGGACGCCTTCGTTTCAAAGGGACTCAGCAACACGTCTCCCGAGAGACATGCGTGCCCCCCCGGGGTCAATCCACCCAGTGGGGGAAACTCCGTGAACGGTGCAGGACCTTCGGAACAAAAAAGAACTGAAGCCACGTGATAGTCCCTGGTGTTCTGTGAACCAGCACATCTTCTTTGCCCAGAACATCTAGAACTCAAACATGACCAACATGTTTTGAGGCGATCAGGGGAGCGTCCTTTTTTGGGGTGGGTGGGTATATATGTCTTATATTCCCCCCACACCGGGCAAAGAGGTTCTAGATGTCACATCTTCTGTGAACCAACATGTTTCCGCGACACAGCCACCCCTGTCTCCGCGCCTGGGTGAGCGTCGGATCGGTCACCAGGATCGGTGACCAATGTGGTCGGATCGGTCGCCCCGGATCGGTGACCACAAAACACGGATCGGTGACCGGATCTGACGGATCGGTCGCTCGGTCGCCAGGATCGGTCACCGAAGGTATAGCGAAAAAAAGTGAAACAAAGAAAGCCGACCATACCGGATCGGTCGCCAGGATCCGTCACCAGATATATAGGTCTAGGGAAGGCAAGGAAAACAAACCAAGCCAAACACAGCGGATCGGTCACCAGGATCGGTCACCAGAGAGGTGTAGGAGAGGTGTAGCTACGGAAAAGAAAAAGAAACAAAACAACTGTGCCGGATCATACGGTGAGTCCAGACTTTTTTCCTCAAATTTCTTAAACTCAAGAAACGGGTTATTGGCGCGCAAGACCGAGGAAAAATACCAACCACACCGGATCGGTCGCCAGGATCGGTCGCCATCGAATTATATATCGTGGGAGACGGAGGAAAAAATACCAACCACACCGGATCGGTCGCCAGGATCGGTCACCACAGAGGTATTGTGTAAAACACAAATCTACTTAAACAATTTCTGCTGCTTAGTGGGAGTGCATAACAAATACCAGGCTTACTGGATCCTATACCGTCGCAGTAAAATATCGGCTTTGGGTTTTTGACAGTATACCTTAGTGTTGAACACCGCTCTGCTCGGACGCCTTTTCATTCCCCACCTACCTTCATGTCAAATTAAGAAAAGGTCCTCTGTTTAAACAAATCGTGTTTTATTTCCATGGTTTCGCAAGCATTGAACAGAACCACTTACCAAGGCCTTTCAATGCCTTGCTTGAATCACGCGTATGAGGCAGGTAGAGCAAGCCTTCAGCCTATCCCATATGTACCACTATAGGGCCCCATTTGGTCCCTCAACCTCTCGATCTTGAATCGCAATATTGAACCAATCCCAAAATTGCCGGAGCGAAAAGTCCTGCCGCTGGCTCTCCATTTAGGCCAGCTCAAATCCGAAGTTTGGCGGCAAAACGTTTGAAATGCCGAAGCTGTGAAGCTTTACTGGTGAGAAGATCCGCTGCGCTCAGAGATGCTCCACGCAACACTGAAGGCCTGCCCGTCCAGCGCACTCCCGAAGCGCCAGCGGCGCCGCGCTCACAAGTAGCGCACGGCCGGCCAAATGTTCTTTGGCACGTCTGCAGTCACCACCTGTCGACATGTCGAGGCTGCACTCACTGCACGGTATGAACATTCCCTTAGAGACACTATTATGCAGGGTACATTATGCCTTAGCTGTCTTAGAGACACTAGGTGACATGGCGGCTGTCTCAACATAGTTCCTCGAATTTGGATCGTTTTAGGGGTGCAAGCCAAGCCACCTTCACCATGGACATGAAGGGTTGTCTGTTAGACTTCTTGAAATGGTCGTTGTAGCAATCCCACAAACCCCAACCCTAAAACCTAACCCTAAAAATCTAACCTTACAGCCTAGTAGTAGTAACAGTGACACGAGTAATATTAGAAATGGTAGTCGTAGTAGTCGTAAAAACCCTTACCCTAAAACCTAGCCCTAAAAAACTTAACCTTACAACCTAGTAGTAGTTGTAGTACTAGTAGCAGCAGCAGTGGTAGTATCGTAGTAGTAATAGTAATGGAAGTAAAAGTATAATTGTGATACTAGTAATCATAGAAATAAAAATAGCCGTAGTAGTCGTAACCATAACCCTAAAACCTAGCCCTTAAAACGTATAATAGTAGTAGTGGTAGTAGTAGTAGTAGCAGC